ACTTTAAATAAAATGCATAATTAAAATATTGGTTCTATCAGCAACCGCGCTTATTGAATAATATCTATCAAATTAGCCGTCTATATAGGGGATCAACAATCATGCAATCACTTTACTTATAGAACGGATAGACAAAACTGCAATCAATCTTCCGAAAATAACTGCAATCTCCCCACCGACGAGATCTGTTATCACGTGGCGGTTTGCGCCTACCTACTGAACGCTGTACACCTCGGACAGCAGCGTGGCTTCAAACGAACCGCGCTGTATCGTCTGAGGTCTCCGAACCTGGTCAACCGTTTGAACTGCTGTTGTGGCTACAGTGTTGTTTGCGATCCGCGTCAGGTTCAGCTTCCAATAGTGAGGTTCACCGACAGCCACGGTCTCGACAACAGCCGCGAACCCGGCGTTAACGCTGGCGTTCACTGGTACGGCGACCTGGCCGGATCACTGGCTAATATCCAAAACCGTCGAGCCCCGCGTTTAGGCCACCTGGATCACCAGTTGATCCCAGCGGACGGCCGTATCCACATGCCAATCTCTCGCCCATGTGCGTGAACGCGGCGCCATAATACGTAACTGGAACGGCAAGCACAACAAAGGAGATTCAAACAGGTATTAGTTAACGTCAGCCAATGACTATTCTGTGTCAAAAAATAAAAAAATAACAAACAATTATTGTATAGGTTTGGGACTAATATTTCTTGTAACATCATAATATAGACCGCTGAAGTTATGTATTGAAATGCAATGTTATAGTTGTATTACTTGTAGTTGTATTTATTAGAATATTTGTTTAGTGATTTAAACGTTTATGAAGATCCCGTAAAAGATGAAATGGTTAGTCTTTCTATTAATCTGTTCATACGCATAATAATACGAGTATGTGTGTACAACACCACATATAATCATAAATAAACATTTCCTAGCATTTAGTTTTCTTAAAAAGCGTATATATTTTATGTACATACTCTTATTAATTATTATTACGTGAACGCTAATTTATCTAATACTTTACGGTCCGTTATTTGAATAGGTCTTTGCCATCAGAAGAAACTTATCTGGTGGTAATGAACGTGGGTTCGGAGGATGAGTTTGTCAACTTGAGTGATTGGCCAATTGCGGTCAAAGAAGAAACATGGCTGGTACACACGCCAAGTCTCAATTCACAATTCTCAATAGGGTGAGTAGTAAATACACACTTGAATTTCTATTTAATATATAAAATATACAACGTTATATAAAATAATAAAAAAAATGCCATAGACATCGTTACGATTCCCTTAATTAATCTATGTAAACAGTTTTGCGTGAGACAAACTTATTTGCAGATTTTATTTTCAATAGGTATACCAAATGCCATAAAGTTACTTTTATTGATAAATTAAAGAATAATCCAAATCGTTCATCATTAAAGATTCATTTTTATTTTTTATTTTTATAGAAGATTGAGGATTGATAGCAAAAAGTAATAAGAGTTTTACGATGCAGTAAAATGTTTTCTATACGATGTTAAGTTCAGTTAAAATGCTGTAAATATCGTTCTTTAAGTTTTCTCCGTGAATCTATGTTTTTCATAACTCATAATAACACTAATAATTATAGGTGATAAAGGATTGAATGGAACAACATTTAAAGTTCTTCTAATCAGTATTTCAACATATTTTAGATATTTTAAAAATGTATTTCTTCTTAAAATTTTCTTAAACTTGCCTATATAAAACCCCTGAACTGTATTATATTACAGTATATTATATTATATTTATTAAATGTTTTTGAAATTTAGTATTATTGTTTGGGAATTAGTTGAATGCATAATCTCTACTTCATAGAAATATCTACAAATATTTAAAAAAAATGTTGTTATGGATATCTTTTTATCCTTATTTACTAGATAAAATATTAAATGTAAAAACAGATTATCATTATGTATTTATTTTATATTATATTTAAGTATAAAATCTTCTTTTTTAATATTATTTTTTAAAAAATGTTCTGATAAAATATGTTATTTCTTGACTTTTAAACGTTTTAAAATTACATAGTATTATATAGGAGAGTACTTACGAGTATGTGTTTCTTTTGTGAACAAATTTATAATATAGTTATGTAACTTTTGTCTTTAGATCACTATTGTTACTACAAGATACATTTAGTGGTATTTCATCACTTAAATTTGTCGACTTGTTATACCTATTTATTAAAAGATAATATTTAATTGCTTTTTTTCTTACCATTTAGACATTTACTAAAGACAAGTGGATTTATGATGAGACCTAAATCGGCCATGGTTTTGTGTAACAAAAAACATTCATTGGTTTTGTCGTCGACTTTATCATCAACCTCTTCGATATCCTCGTCTTCGTTGGTGTTTCCGGTAGCAATGTTCGTGATTGCCTTGGGTTACAGTTATATGTTTTCTAAGCAGTAGTTGTCATTTGTGTATGAAAATCAATTATTTTTGAGAATGTTAATTGATTCAAAAAAACGCTATTGCAAGTATGAATTATCCAAGAAATAATTAAAAAAAACAAAATATATATATTATAATACAACATTTCTATGGCGTTGGAGTTTTAAAATCAATAATTTTTGTTTACAATCAAAATTGTATTATAGCATAACTTAATGTGTTGATAAAAAAAAATTATAATATGAGAAAACAAATTTGTTTTATAACACTTAACGTGTCATTTAATCTAATTGTTTTATTTTAATTATTTGGGTGAACAGTGATCGATACTGTATGACCTAAATGTTATAATCAATACCTATCATTCGAAATGATTAGTTGTTAATGTTAGTAACGTAACAACGTCTTTCGTTGGATATATTATTCTATTTTACCTATAATTTAGGACATTATAATTTTCAGAAAATGACAATAGGTTCGCCTTGGTTTTAATTTCATATTTTTTATATGAGTTCTTGGTGTATATGAATATAGTGATAATGAGATTGAGATGCTATCTACCAAAAGCAATAGTTATTAATTTTACGATTTTGGACTAAATTTTGTGTTAATTATGTATCTTTAATCATAATCATAAACTTACATTGCACAAAAATAAAATCGTTATTGTAAGATAAGTGGTTCTTCTTATACTTTCGAGTATAAGTAAATAATAGTAATTAATTTATTCTCTTATTTTAAATGATTTATAATACATTAAATCATAAATAGTTAACAGGTTTTTATAATACATTTTAAATGGTAATGGATATTATGAGATATTTGTATATTAGGCTGCCTATATTCCAATTTTCGGGAAAAATGTGTTATTTAACAATATTAATTAATATTACTAATATGTTTTGTTTTATTTATTTTACTTAAATAAAATAAATGTATTATGATTAAAAAAAAAAGTAAATAAAAAAATTTTGCGACTTTTTTTGTAATTGTCACTAATTGTAAATTTTACATTATTTTGGAATTTAATATAATGGTGTGAAAATATTTTATTTCTTGCTCCTGCCTAGAATTGTTTTTACATACTTATTTTTTTTCTAAAATATCTAATATTAATTGTTCGTTTCCAAAAATATTATTATTGTTAACCAATTTAGAAATGCATTATTGGCTGTTGTTATAAATTTAAGGGGTGCAAAATACTTTGAAGCTTTCCCCAAAATTGCGCCTACGGTGTTATTGAAGAATGTTTTGTATATTCAAATATTTTAATGCATTTTTTGTTTCTTTTTTTTTTGTTACCTGTCTTAATGTTTTTTTTTCGTTTTTGTTTAATTTATGTTTCAGTGAGTTTTGTTGCTTCATTCTATTGGGCTTCTTCTTTAGTGGTTGCATGCAGATAACAGTCTTTTGTTTTTAATACTATCAAAAATAAAAACATTATCTTGTAAAATGTACCTCAATATATTGAGGTATCTCCTGACCCTTAAACAAAATTATAAAATTTTGTTTTTTTCAGACTGCAATATAATTCTTCTTCTTGGAAATATTATTTTAAATATTTAAGAATTTATCAACATGAAATAGTATGTAGGTATAGCATTACAATGGCTATCTAATAATTTTAAAATAAACAATTAAACAGAAAATTATTGTTTATGACTTATATTTAACACAAAGTTTAGAATTGCCAAATGTTTTTTATGATAATTAAAAAATGCAAGCAACTAAGAAGATGTAATATTATTTAATCTTATAGTGCGTTTTCAAAGAAAATTTGTAATTTAATAATCCATAATGTGTAAGTTTACATAATTTGGATCAAACGTTTAATTAATATGATAACACCAGTGATGATTTGGGTCGCATTTCAAGTGGTTGTTTTGTATCAATGTAATCACTAAAACATAAAATATAAACGATTTAAATAATTAATAAAAAATAACCATGAATTAATAATATAATGCTCGTAATAGTGATATATATAGTGATATACTTTTAAGGTATACTGTAAGTTATTAATTATTATTATAGTCATTTAACTTCCATAGAACTATCTAAATAATATGAATAAATACTTAAATACACATTTTATTTTTTTTTTTACAGTTAAATAGTATAAAATTAATTTATTACCATAGTAGATTTACTATAATTTGTAATGTCAACTAGGTATTTAAATTGAAGTTTTAACATTAACTGAGCTATACGGGTTTTATTAGTCATAAACTCATAAAGGATAAAATTCCAACTATCCATATAATTATAATTTATTTAACATGTTATTTTCATTTTTTTTTTATAATTTAATCTATGTAATTGATTATTTTTGAGTCTTGATTATATGTAATTCTTAATGAATTATTTTACGGCTATTAGTAATGACTTATTGTGTAAGGTAACGCATATGTTATAAATGAATATATTCAGTAATATTCACAACTATATACGAATTATAATAATTTTAAAATTGTATACTTGATTATTAATATTTTTTTTTATATCTGTAATTAAAATAAAATATCTAAAAATATTATGGCAAATAATTTGTTATGATATTTTCCTGACATTATACCTATTTAATTTGTGATAAATTCACTGGCATAAAAGATGTTAATTAAGAATTAATATTAAGCTATTTATACCTTTTATACCATATATATACTATTCTTATGTGCATTGGTATTTTCTTAAATAAGTTAAGTTAATAAGTGCTAATAATATTATAATAATAAATTTAACAAATAAAATTGTTTTTAGCATAAATAAGTCACACCTACCGTACTACTGATAAACAAATAGATTAGTTACTCAAAAAAACAAAAAAAATATCATAGACAGTAACTTATTTAATGACTAGGTATATTAGATAGTCGATATAGGTTAGTACTATACAGAAAAACCATTCTAACTTATTACTCCATTAATCGTTTAACATATACTGTTAAAATGTTTATAATATTAATTTGCAGAAGAAATTTAGTTTTTATAAATATTGGTTGATTTATTACTCTTTCTTTTGTACCTTTTATCTATTTGTGTTATTAACTTACTTTTCAGTTTGAAATGCATTTATGCTTGAAGCACGGACGATCATCTGAAGTGGTACGCTCTGAAAGTATTCATTTAAAATAATTGTTTCTTGTTCCGTGCCAACGTTTAAAATAGTGTAGAAGGTGTCATGGCCTTCCAATTGTCTGAAACAATAAAAAAAAATTCACGCTTGACACAACTTATAACAATTTTCCTAAATTACGACGAAAATAATTATTCACGGTGACACAGTAGTTATTATTGTTTAACAGAATAAATACAAATTTCAACTAACGAATCGCTAATGAAAACAAAACAATAATGCCACGATTTGTATCTTACGCTATATTGAAAACTCACGTAATTAAATAAACAATAAACATATTATAAGAATTTAATTAGTTATTATTTAAACACATTGACCTATATTATAATCGTTGTTAAAAACGGTATTTATCTCAGAATGCCTATACAAATGCGATAGATTGTGTTTGAAACATTTTAAATTAAAGCAATATGTTTGAATCTATAAACGAAAACAAAAATACTATACCTGTCAAAACCAAAACCCATTTTGATATTGTGTGCATAGTAAGATTTCCTCTCGCTATCGTCGGTAATGAACGGAGTTGTACCAGCGTTTTGTACGTCTTATAGTGGCTTCTGTTGCACTCATTTTGAAAGACTAAATTGAGATTCCAATAATTGCTGTTCACGGGAAGCCGTACGATTGAGACGTTGAAAACCCTTAAAAGAAATTCATTAGGTTTATTCGTTGCGTCTGAGTATGCGAAGTCAGTGAAAAATGTCCTATACGAGCTGATCATTAAGGTATTTACCGGCGTTCTGCGAATCGTTCCATTGAAAGGGGTCCTGCACGGTCTCTTGAGTTCACCTCAAACTTGGCCTCACCGCCGTTTTTACCGGAAGGATCAACTGTCTGATCCCATCTTATCGTGAAGTCAGCCATACCAATTTCCTCTCCGTAGTACGTGATCGCTGTACCCGGTAACATCATCGTCAGCATGTTCATTGGGTCGACCATTTCCTGACCGAATCTTGAAGCCAATCGCATATTATCATGGTTCCCTAACTAAAAGGTATTTATTTTTAATTATTTATTTTACTCCCTAACCTAACTCACCTAGTAAATAAAACTATTCACTTGTATGCAGTGATTAAATAAGGTTAGGTACACCACTAATTTATTTTTATTCTTATGTTTGTTAATTTAAATGGTGATTGTATTAAAAATTTAATGATTGCACTGGATTTTTAAATTATTATCCATACATAATATATTGGTGAACTTTGATAACCAATGAAA